GACCTTGACCAGAAAGGAAGGGTTTATAAATGAATAAGTGGGTATGATTTACTCCACATTATTCAAGTATATATTATATTATATCATATCCTATTATATTATATTGTATTATAATATATTATATTAAATTATATTATAGTATATTAAATTATAACATACTAAATGAAATTATATTATATCTTACTATATTTTATTATATTTTATTATATGTTATTATATGTTATTATATTATATTATATTATATTAAATTATTTTATATTATATTATATTTATATTACATTACATTACATTATATTATATTATATTATATTTATATTACATTACATTACATTATATTATATTATGTCATATTATATTATATTATAATTTACTATATTATATCATATCATATTATATTATATTAAATATTACATATTATTATTATTTTATATATATATATGTGTGTTAAATTATACTATATTATATTATATTATATCATATTATATTATATTGTATTAGTATTTACTATATTATATCATCTCATATCATATTATATTATATTAAATATTAAATATTAAATATTATATATTATATTATATCATATATATATATATGTGTGTGTTATATTATACTGTATTATATTTTATTATATTATATATTATACATTATATATTATATATTATATATTATATATTATATATTATATAGTATATATTATATATTATATATTATATAATATTATATATTATATAGTATATTATATATATTATATATTATACATTGTATAGTATATATTATATATATTATATATATTATATATATTATATACATTATATATATTATATATATTATATATATTATATATATTATATATATTATATTATATATTATATATTATATATCATATATCATATATTATATATCATATATTATATATCATACATCATACATGCTACATCATACATGATACATCATACATGATACATGATACATGATACATGATACATGATACATGATACATTATACATTATACATTATACATTATATATTATATATTATGTATTATGTATTATCTATTATCTATTATCTATTATCTATTATATTATATATTATATATTATATATTATATATTATATATTATATATTATATATTATATATAATATATAATATATAATATATTATATATTATATATTATATATTATATATTATATATTATATATTATATATTATATATTATATATTATATATTATATATTATATATTATATATTATATATTATGTATTATATATTATATATTATGTATTATGTATTATGTATTATGTATTATATATTATATATTATATATTATATATTATATATTATATATTATATATTATATATTATATAATATATATATATTATGTACATATATATATATCATATATTATATATCATATATTATATATCATATATTATATATTGTATATATCTGTGTGTGCGTGTATGTATACAGATTTACACACAGAGATGATGTACTCGATATAACCGCAAACGAGTACCCTCCAGTAAACTCATGTGGCAGTTGAAAATCCACCGGTTCTAGGATATGTCAATATGTCCCATTTCGAGCTTAGATTGTCAAATAGTAATGCTGGAGAAGGCTGGGATGGTCCATCCCTGCGGTGACAGTTTTGACCCATCATATCATCATCAAATTTAACCCGCAATGGGTTGACTTGAGATTTTTTACACGAACCCTTCTCTTTAACTCCAAGTATAGGCGGTTCAACCATCAATTTCCGATCAATTCTACACGCCTCCGGAGCTGCCTCAGCAGTCTCGGCACCTGGGAACCGAATGAAACCATGATCCGATTCCGGGGCGTCTGGAATCTTCGACTGAAACTCTCGGAGGCATGCCTTCAGTTGCACTTTCCGCCTCTCCTGTCACCAGGCCCCTTCAGAATACCATGTTTACTGCAGTTCTATCAGTTTCCAAAGTTTCTGTTACTTTCTGTTTGCAGATCAAAAGCGCCGTCCTTCTTGACCGCCCTCTTTGCTGCTCACCTCTGAAACCTCGCCGGATCGAGGCACGGGTTTCCACTGGCTGAGTGGCTGAGGAGCTGAGGCCCCCACTACTCTCAAGTAGAACAAGGCTGTGGTGTTTTCCGGCCTCAAGAGCTGATTTGCAGCTTGGCCCAAGAGGAACTCTTTGGATCTCAGTTTCAAACGCTGCGTCGAGAAAATAAACCAGGTCCTGAAGAGGCGCACCGGCCATGGCGGCCATGGTTCAGATCCGCAACGGACAGCCACATCCCCAGCATCCCCAGCATCCCCAGCATCCCCAGCCTCCCCGGCGTCCCCAGCGTCCCCAGCGTCCCCAGCGTCCCCAGCGTCCCCAGCGTCCCGCCTTTTTGGTTTGCTCTTCTTGCAGCAGCTGCGTCCACTTTTCTGCCTGCAAAGACTTGACCGAGACCCAATCCTGGATTTGTCTGAAGAGAACAGGTACCCCCAAATCTGGTGACAATTTGGTGGATGTCTATTGTCAATGACCAAAAACCGGGGAGTACTAACCATTGTCACACAAACCCAAATATTTTGCAGCAAAATTCTGCTGGCCTCGATTGGTAACACAGCTTGGACAGTCCTTTGGAGCCATGACAGCCGCGCATCCGCCATCGGAAAGACGTGGGACCGTCCTGGGCGCTGGAAGAAAGTCTCCACAAAACCCAGTGATATGAAAAAAAATGTGTAAAAACCAGGATTGTGGCACTATTCCAGGTAAGTTCAGTTCAAATATCGGTACGACTATAATTCAATATGGGAACCATATTTAAGAAAAAAATGCACCTCGTTCCCACTGTCTTTCCGAATGTCAGGAATAATTTCAGCGCACAATGGATGGAGCCTGCGTCGATGTGCGCGGTGTTCTTGTCCGGCAGCCTTTCTTCTGCCTAGACTCCCTGAGCCAATTGGCTTCCCACGTTGGAAACACTGGAGCAAACTGCAAGAACAAATTGATTTATTTTTCCGTAGGTTTGATCATTGCAATAGGTGCATATATAGTTTCACTTGAAAAAAAACATCCGCAAAAACAAAGAACCAAGTTGTTGTTGTTGTTGTTGATCCATTTGACGTACATAAATTGGACAATATCCATTCTCCTCAGGTGCATTCAACAACGTTGCAGTGTTGTGTTTTTTATTGCCAGGTCAACAAAATAATGGGGAGTTTGCAACACCACACAGAATCACAAGTTCAGTTTGTTCGGTCATTATATTTTGGAAAAAATGACAAATTTACACAACGCATCAAACGTGCAAACAATGTTGGCAATGTATGAGACTGCATGGCAGTTTCAATACAATGTACGACAATCTACGACAATGTGAAACACAATGTATGACAACAAAAATCAGATACCCCCCGCAAGTGAAACAACCACATGTTGTCAAGAAACACCACAACACACACTTTTGTCCACAATTCGCACTCCCGAATGTGGCTACAAGATCTGTCATGTATAGTATACAAACAAAATCCAACAAAAAATGTCTTTGCAAAAAAAAACAGACACACACACAAGTCCAAATGAAATGAACGCATTCAGCACGAACATCGCATTGCTCGCGCAAACCGGCACTGCTGAATCAAGGTGGTTATGGGTTGTTTGTCATTTGTTTTCTCTGGTGTTTTGAAGCTGAACTGAAGAAAAATTAAGAGCAAACCCTGGGTTATCATTTATGTTCAAACCGTAATCCGATGGTCATGCCGCACACTTTGATGCCGATGAATTCGTACAATGCTGCGAATTGGCAACGGGATCGTGCAGCCCACGCGGTTTTTTCACTGATGGCGTGAGCCGTACAGCTCAAGGGCCCTATGTTAGCCGAAACGGCAACAAGCGTCTAATGTGACAACCTGGCCTATACATGGAATGTCAAATACCTCAAACCGACGCTCAACCTGTTCTGCAGGTGTCACATCGCACTCTTTACAGACACGAGTGCATAGGGCACTGCGGAGAAAGTAGCGCAGTGGCGTTTCTACTGCTTCTGTACTTTGTAGGTGCAATGTGCTAGCACGCGGATCATAAAATCTGGCTTCATACTTTTCGTGAGACAATCACTGATCATAGTGTGGCTAGCTATCCAAGATAGTTTGTCTCCCCCGTCTGGGTATACACCCCATCATCGTTCCAATAGGATTCGTGTATGCTCTGCAACTCAATGCCCAATCTCTTGTCGCTCACTTTCGTGAGGATTTCGGAAGCTAGGTGATCCGAAAGAGAGCGGCAGTCTAAGTGCGGCACACAGCTTCTGGCATCAGCTTCCCGTGTCTTCAAACATCTGATCTGACCCTTGATTTCAGCCAAGGCCCCTCTGAGCTTGTCTCCTGCCTCAAGACCATGCTGCAGCAAGTACGTCTCAGCTTGAAGTGTGCTTCGACACACACGTCGAATCGTAGTAGGGCTGAAAGACAAAGGCAATACCCTGTGCGTGTTACAGTTGCCACTCTTGATCTCGGTGAGGTCTCCAAGGAAATGGCAGCGTCCTCGTTGAGAACGGTAATTCTGTTTGTTAAAGAAAGAAGCGTCAGTGGTTGTGATCAATCCGACTTCATCTCATTTGAGATGTCTACAGGGGAAACGAAGTCTCACCTGGTCACCCTTGTGAACAAGTTGTACAACTGCGTTTGCGTCACATAGAGTGCTGACTGTAGCGCTTTTGATCGAAGATCGTAGACAGCTAACCCGGTATGCCAAATCTGGCCTTGTTTGGCTAGTGACCCGGTCGCCGACCCAAGTCGTGTGATGTTGTCTACATATACTGTTCCGTTGCATCGTCTTGAAGCCTGGAAGGCAGCATGTGCCAACTCATGGATACACCGTCATGGAGAAGCCTGTCCGGAATCATGCTTGTAGAACTACAGCAGAGAAAGCTGGTTACAGGGAAGCTCCAGGCGTCCCCTTTCTCTTCAGAGTTGCTGCACAAAGTCAGGTTGCAGATTGCGTCACAGTTGAGGGACCCTACTGGAGCGATGGTGGTGGATTCTGGGCAGCCCTTTCTATTGCGGCTCTTGTCACAGTGGCTTGAAGTTTTCGAAGACCCTGACGTGGCCTGCTTGGTCAATGCAACGGACTCATTTGCCACAGGGGTGAACGTTGGCGTGGGCGATCCTTTACCAAGGACGCCTCAAGTTTTTCCGCCAAAGGTGAAGCATTGGAAGTTGGATGGTACGGAGTTCAACCCCATAGCTGACAACTACATGTCAGGGCAGTTGTCAGCCAAGGAATTGGAGGAGAAGTTCAGGGAGGAGGAGGCACTTGGGCGCATGGAACCTTCTAAGATGTCTGTCTTGAGGGCGCGCTATGGGGGTCGCTTACGTGTGGCTGCAATGGCGGCGATCAGCAAGCCTGACGGTGGTGTCAGGCCTCTTCACGATGCCACCCATTCTGTGATGGTTAACCATGCAATCAAATACAGGGATCAACTACAGTGCCCAGGCCCGGCAGAAGTTGCTGCTGTGGTGAGAGAAGCGGTAGAGACCCGAGAGGCTGTGTTCTGCGTTTCGGCCGATATCAGAGCGGCTCATCGCTTGGTGAAACTTAGGGAGGAGGATTGGCCATATGTTTGTTGCGTGCTGATTCCCTGTCGGAGGTTGTTTGGATCAACAAGGTGGGAACGTTTGGAGTATCAAGTGCTCCTTACTGGTGGTCGAAGCTTTTCGCTTTGATTGGACGTTTTGTGGGACATGTCATGCAGACGGCGGCTTACTGGCATTTGGTTTATGTGGATGACCTGCACGGGGCGTTTACAGGGCCTCTCAAGTTTGAGCTTTTGTGGGTATGGCTGTTGGCCTTCGAGGTCATTGGGACTCCATTTGGTTATCACAAGTTCAAGGGTGGTACGACAGGAATGAAGTTGTTCTAACAAGTAAGCATTCATTAGCTACATACTAGAAGCTCGAGCCAATCACCCCAAACATAAAAAGAACCAAAATCAACAATAAAATAAACCAATATAAAACTAACACAAAAACATCGATGGGAAAAACGGAGTGATGTATCTCTGGTCGAATCGCGCATCTCTCTTTTTTCCATTGCCAGTTGGATATGTGGCTGTGCCACATCAGCAGCATGTCATGGTTGATGGTTGCATTTCACCCATCCCATGTAGAGAGGTTAATGGTCAAGCCCTTCAGGCTAGACGTCGAATCCATGCGGATTGTTTTTTTTAAACAACAGCCCAGGAATGAGAAGACCAAATTAAATGATTTAATGTGGTCCACATGGATGTCTTCGCTTATGCACAACGCAACGGATGCTGAAAGGACCGGTCGTCCATGAATTGCACTCGGATGGTTGCTGGGTGAGTGGCCGGAGTATTGCCACGTGACGAAATGATCATGCTGGATCGGATGCTCATTGGAAACAGTCGGATGCGTTGGTTCGTCGCTCAGCGGATGAAATTGGAAATCGCACGCAAGGGAACCGCACTCGTGAGTCACATTCCAACCGAACGAAAAGGGAAACCCACAGCAATGAAACAGCAAACCAATTGGGAAAATACCAATGACAAATGAAAAACCAAGTAGCAGGAGATATGAGTGCGTAATCCCTGACATATTATGATTCCCCCACCTGAATATTGAGAAGCAACAGTAAAACAGAGCATAGAAAATGCGGTAGTTAACATTTAGAATCAGGTGAGGGAGGGTGGGTGTTTGAAATTAGATGAATGCTTACTTGAGCCAAAATGTAATGAAGCATTACATTGATTAAAACACTAATGAAACAAGTACATTAAGAGTTCTAACAAGTAAGCATTCATTAGCTACATATTAGAAGCTCGAGCCAATCACCCCAAACATAAAAAGAACCAAAATCAACAATAAAATAAACCAATATAAACTAACATAAAAACATCGATGGGAAAAACGGAGTGATGTATCTCTGGTCGAATCGCGCATCTCTCTTTTTTCATTGCCAGTTGGATATGTGGCTGTGCCACATCAGCAGCATGTCATGGTTGATGGTTGCATTTCACCCAAATATTTCTATCAACCAGGACTTACTGAATGCCCCAATAACCCCCTCTAATAAAAGTGTGAGGTAAGGACTGGCAATGGAAACTGGAGGTTACGGAAGTGGCCATGAAACTGTTGATCCCTTTGGGAAAATCGAAACTGCTTTGGTCGGGTGCCAAATTTGATCTAACGAAATTCGGATGCAGTCGGATGCTTGAAGGCTGGGAGGCAAGGGCTCCTCCAGGTTCATTCTGGAAATCATGTCAGCCAACTCATTGGCATATCCCGGGATGTGTGAAACGTCTATATAATTGTGCATGGACTGCGGAAGATAAAAGGCAAAGTTTTTCGACAAAGAAACATAATGGAGCTTTGGTGGTGAAGAGAGAGTTTGAGGTGGATTCTGCTGCTGTGGGGTCACTTAAGCTTTTTAATGTGAGTGCAAATCGCTGGGATGGCAGTAAGCTGCATAGGGAATACAAGAGACAAATTTGGGCTAATGTCTCATAGCTGCTGATATCTTTCTGCATGTCTGATGAAACTGGAATTTCTAGTTGGTGAAAATCGGATGCTATCCATTTTTCGCTGAACCAGCGTAAGTCACCATTGGCAAATCTGAGGAATCCTCCGATCTGACAATGATCTTTATCTGCACAGGCATCTGCAGCTGCTTCGCCAGCCCAAGGTAATTTAGGGTTCATAGAAACTATCGGATTTGAATATTGAAGCCAGGTTGAGAACATGTTCAATATTCTTTGAGAGTCTTTGCTGATCGATCTTTTGTTCGACAAAGGGTCCATGATGCGAACCCAAATCCGTTTTTCTGATAACCGGCAGTTGCGGACATCTTCCAAGGTAGCCACCGGTTGGTGACGAACTGACAATAATTTCCCGCCTTCAGGTATAGCTGTGCCGATGGGCCGAGAGGTAAATTGTAGGTCTGGGCTCAGGCATGACAATGTGGTGAGCCAAAAACCAGGGTCGATTGAATATGATGTGCCAGGTGCCTTATATAGGTCTGTATATAAGTGGTGCAAGAAAGCTCTCATTAGGGGAAAAAGCTGCGTGATCCAAAGTGCCAGTCCAATGAACTTTTCAATGGTCTTTTTGGAGGTTTTCGGATGGGTCAAAAGCTCCCGGATCAATCGTTGTAGTTTTTCCCGCTTGCTCTGTTGCAATTTGACCTGACCGATGGAAAAATTAAATGTCCATCCTATCCAATTGACTTCCTTGTGTAGTTCTGCTTTGCGCCAGCTGATGGGAAGTCTGAATGCCTGAACCAGTAAAGCTACTAGTGCTGCTGTGATGGGTAAAATGTCCAAGCGTTGGACCAGTAAGTAGTCATCAACGAATAGGAACAAAGCATGGGCTGTGTAAATAAACTGATGGATGAGCCTTGTAAAAAATGAGCCAAGTCTGGCCCACCACCACGCACTGAATCGGGCTCCGAACGGACATACTTTGTAGAAATACAACCGCCCTTTGAACGAAAAGCCTACTAGGCCTCGATGACTGTGATGAAGTACACAAAGTTTATGAGCTGCGCGGACGTCAAGTCCCATGGCTCCCAGTTCCTCATTATGACCACGAAGAGGGAATGAACGTACTACGTCCTTTGCAGATGGCAGTTGTTGATGCTCAGGTATATCGCAATTGTGGTTGGTGCCTGAAACTGTAAAGTCTACTACCAATCGTGGTGGACGGGTGTCCGATGTGGCAATTGAAAGTTTCCCCACTGCAACGCCAAGGGGGTATTCACGTTTGGCATCCTCAAGGTTTCCAGGGAAACAAATCAGCCATCCTTTTTCAATTTCCTCTTGGACCAGCTCCTCCGTGAGTTCTGGTTGGGATTCTGCTGTCTGCCAGTTTGTCCAGTGGACGGACAAATCTGGTCGCGCTGGTTCCTCGGTGGGCGGTTTGGCTGCAAATACATTTGAAGGAGCAATGTTGTCTTGAAACCCAGTGGAAACTCCTTCGATAAGCGCTGGAAAAAGATTTCGATCCGGATCATTCATGTGATGGCTAATGGCTTGAAGGGCATGCAAACAAAGCGGTTGATCTGCACGCACTTGCCAATCTAGCGGTTTGTCGAGGGGCAGCAATGTGTCAAGAGATGCACGGAATTGTTGCACCAGATCTTCGGAAAAGGGTGGATCCACTTGTTGCCGCTGGAAATGCCCCACAATAAACTTATGTAAATCATGTTGTAAAATTTTGGGAATCCAAAAATCCCGGACCGATCGAAAGATGTTCTCTTTGTCTGCTGGGGGTCTGGACCAGTCTGGGGATGATTGCAAACCTCCCCCATCCACAAAACTTTTGGGATCTTGGAACCAATCTTTGTGGGGAAAAAGTGAAAACGCTGAATCCCACGAGATATCATCTTTGAGTGGGGAAAGTAAAACTGAATTTTTTTGTGCAAAAGCTTCTGCTAATTTCGTTGGGTATGCTGCGGAACGCCTGCTCAAATAGATACCATGTTCGTCCTTTGTACCTGCAATGGATTTGTGGGCACCTTGTGCATGGGTACAAACTGCTGCAATGGCTGATAGAGGCTCGAAAGATGATGCAAATAACCATGTCTTCCTGATGTCCCAGTCAAAAGCACAGGCTGCTAAAAGAATTAGGCAGCAGTTGGCCATCTGAATCCAATTTTGCGTGGATGGTTCGCGCCAACTCATCGCACCTGAGGGTTGCTCGACATGGCCATGACCGCCAGCTACATAGGTGCATTGGACCGAATTAACTGATCGATCTAACAGTGTAGCGCTGTCTTGAAGGCGCTGTTGTTCTGCAGGAGATAAATCAGGAATGCCTTGCATCATATCTGGTGTCCTGATTGCTCTCGGCCCACCTGGCCGAAGTTTGAGTAAACTGTACTCTGTGCAAGACGGCGATGCAGCTGCATAGCCAATGACTCCGGAGCCGCTTAACCTCAGTAGTTGTTCGTAGAATTGATCATGTAACAGATCCATGCGGCTATCCAGTAAAATGTCAATGGAGAGAGCTGGAAGCCCCATCGCCCTGACTGCTGTAGAAAGAGGGCAGTCTGCTCCGCTGCAAATGTCCAGGAAAATCTTTGTACCCGTGCAACTCCATGGAGTGAGCAAATCTTGACTCACATTGTACAAGGCTGATGGTATTGTGGTCTGTGAAAGCTGTGTGTGTTGATGTTCCATGGTTATGTCTCCAGTGTCCATGCTTGTGATCTCCTCGACCGTGGCATCCTGTTGAGGTGTGGCACCTGGTGAGGCGGAGTTTGCCTGCATGTCTGACGCAAAATGCGTGGGTGAAAACTCCAAGGACTTGTCCTCTTGTTGGTGTTCAAGAAGAGGATCATCGCTAAGCTTAAACTGAGCGATTGTCACATTGGGATGTGATACTGATGGACTCTGCTGCGTAAGTCAGTGCGGAGTCTTGTCGTGCTCTATGGCAGGGTGAGCTGCCCCGCATGCCGTACCGTCTGCACGAGGGTAACCACATGCATGTTCATACCTGCAATCTTTGTTGGAGCATTTTCCTGTTTGATATCTCATACACAGGGTTTTCTTTTGGGACCCCTTCCAGAGCTCTGAGACCCAACGAACCGACGATTTGCCAGTTCCTTTTGAGGGTTTTCCCCCCTTGCCTGATGATTTGGCAGCTTTGCCACCTTTGAATGGTGTGTTGCTTGGAGGAGGTGTAGGCTTGGTCAATTTTGGCCTAGGCTGGAGCAAGGCAGCCAAATCCCCCCGATTTTGAGTAAACTCAAGCAATGCATCATCCAATGTCCATTCCGGTGACTCACATAGTTCCGCAATCTGGTGCCAAATGTGCTTATCTGCATGTTGGGCTTCGAGAAAGGATGGCGCTCTCAAACCGCTCTCTGCATCCAGTCGCACTGACAGAAAAGACATGAACTTCA